CTCTCGATGACAGCAAAAGTAAGGATGGGGACATGGAATGTCCGCACCATGTATGAAACAAGCAAGGCAGCCCAGATTACGAAAAAATGAGAAGGTATAGCATGGAAGTGCTAGGAATCTGCGAAACCAGGTGGAATGGAAGTGGACTCTCCAAACTGTCAACTGGAGAATCAATAATCTACTCCGATATTGTCACCCAGACGACAACCACGAGCACACTCAGTTTTCCAGTGGCTATCATGATTTCCCCAACAGCATCATAAGCTCTCCTATAGTGGGAATCAATCTCCTCCACGATCATAATAGCAAGGTTCAACTCAAAAGGAACGGAAGTCACAATCATTCAATGCCACAATACGCAACTACAAATAACGCAGATGAAGAGAAGAAAGGAGGAATTCTACAAACAACTGCAATCAGTACTGGACAAGACCCCACCCCAGTTGGCGACGTCAAAATTCTAATGGGCGACATGAATGCCAAACTCGAAACGGGCAACACAGGAAGAGAACTCATCATCAGTCGAGAAGCACTCGGTGAAATGAATGAGAACGGAGAACTGTTTGCAATTTGCTGCGCCTTCAACGATTTGGTGATTGGAGGCAGTGTGTACGAACACAAGGATATTCACAAAGCGATATACATTCGATTTTACCAGATGGACACACTAAAATCAAATCAACTTCATTCCAATCTCAAGAAAGTGAAGACGCAGCTTAATAGACACAAGATGAAGAAGAGGAGCAGATGTAGTTTCACACCAATCACTATCTAGTGCTACGAACTTTCAAAATCAGGTTGAAATCCTTCAGTTCAAGGAAGCTGGTGATAGGCCACAGTTGAAGTTGAATACCCAGAAGAGAAAGTGAACTGAAAGGCAAAACTACAAAGGACATCTTCATATCAGCCATCAGAACAAAATAAGAGATATTGAGCAACATTCCTGAAGCAACCTGTGTGGAAGAACACTGGAACTCTTTGAAAGGGATGTGGAAAGAAACCTGAAGAAGAGTGCATGCAAAGACAAAAGACACTTCTACGACATACTGGCAAGTGAAACAGAACAGGCTGCAGGTAGGAAAGACCTGACAACATTATATCAAATAACCAGGTTACTATCTGGGAAGAGATCAACACAGACGAAACCAATGAAAGATAGTGAAGGAAAGCTAGTTACCACCAAAGAGGAGAAACAAAGGAGCTGATGGGCTTACCACTTCAAAAAGCTCTTGAGTCGACCACCACCACCACCTGCAACTCATCCACAAATACCACCAGCAGCTCTACCACAAAACTACCAGTGAACACAAGCCCTCCGACAAAAGGAGGAGTCCTGAACGCCATAAAGCTGCTGAAATCCGAGAAAGCAGCATGACCAGATGAAATCCCTCCAGATGTATTGAAAACAGACACAGAGACAACAGCGGACGTGCTCACACCACTACCTCAGAAGGTTTGCAAAGAAGGAGGGGTATCTACCCACTGATCGAAAGAAGGGCTACCTTGTCAACCTCCCAAAAAGAGAGACCTAAATCCTTGCAAGAGCTGGTGAGGAATCATTCTCCCATCCTTCTCCATCCCAAGCAAAATATGATGCCGCATCGTCTTGAAGAAACTGAAAGATGCGCTGAGTTCAAAATTACGACCGGAACAGGCTGGCTGGATTCAGGAAGAATAAATCATGCGCATCATCATTGAACAGAGTATAGAATGGCAGTCAAATCTTCACCTTACATCAACTTCATCAATTTTGAAAAGGCCTTCGACAGCGTTGATCGAGAAGTAATTTCGAAACTGCTTCGACACTACGGTTTCAGCACGACAAACCTTTATCAACTTCATTCAACAGCTATATAAAGACTCCACATGGCAAGTGATTCACAATGCAAAGCTCAGTGACGCCTTTGAAGTGAAGACTGGGGTAAGACAAGGCTGCCTACTATCACCGATGATCTTCCTGATTGTGGTCGCACAAACTCAAAGATTTACAGGCGAAAACCAACAAGTTGACAGAAGAGGCAAGGCAGCGAAGACGAGACTTCAAGTGAATGTAGAGAGGACAGAGGTGATGAAGATACCCAACCAACAACAACTAGAACTATAACGACAAGCACCAATCACCATTAACGGGAGAAACCTAAAGGAAGTAGTCTCTTTCACCTACCCACCTACCAAGGCAGCATCGTTTCAACTACAGGCGGCACAGATAAGGACGTCAAGGACAGGATCGGAAAGACAGCAAGACGGGCCTTCATTAATCTGAAAACACTGTGGAGATCTACTGCACTCAACATAAAGCGTGAACAAGATCCGGATTTTCAACACTAAGTCAGTCAAGTCAGTGCTTCTGTGTGATGGTTCAGAAACTTGGCGCATCACGAAAAGCATTTCCAAAACACTACAGACATACATCAACAGCTGCCTACACTCACTCGATACTGAAGATCAAATGGCCAGAGTAATAAGTAAGGAAAAACTCTGGCTGGCAACAAACCAACCAATAATCTATCACCCAACAAATATGCAGAAGAAAGTGGAGATGGATTGGATTGGGCATACACTGAGAAGATCATTCGACGACATCACACTCCAGGTGAGGCCATGCAAGTCGTCGAGTGAAACCCAGATGCGGAACGATGAGTTGGGTATCCCAGTTGAGAGTGACATGGAGGAGATCGTGTGAGGAAGAAATGAAAGCTTGTGGGGAGTCATGGAGCCACGTTGAAAAGACTGCAGAGAAGAGAGTGAAATGGAGACGTGCTAGTGAAGCCCTATGTTCCACTAGGAACCAAAAGGACAAATAATAATAATTATAATACAATTTGCTTTGGTGTTGACGGTATGGCTGCCTATCCATAGAATTCTGCAAGACTTAAGCAGAAACATTTTACTCTTGCTTCTATCCAGTAATATCGTTTTACGTTCATGTTTCAGTCTCATATAAGCAATTTCGTCACAGGGTTTTTCATTTTATAGTTAAGTGAATTAAATTTGTATCAGAAACAGTAAATTAGTTTCTTCATGACTTCATACATAAGTTACTCACAAATGCAAACAAAACTGATGAGTGAATCACGATCCTTTTTACTAACTAACTTAAGGTACCCAATTCTAACCGACTGAATGACTGATAAAACTAACGTAGAACCTCTCATACAGCTGCATCGGCTCAAGTTCCCACACTTTACAGTGATACAAAAGAACACATGGAAAGAAAAAGAGTGATAATGGAATAGACAAGGTTACGTGACAAAATAAACAACCTCAAGATAACGGATTCTGCAAATATTCAAGCTTCAGAAGATGTCAAGGGGTGAATACATCTGCATTGTGATGATCGATCTTCAGCCACATGACCAATAGACCTCAAAAACTGATCCCTATCGTCTCAGGGACTCCAATAAGGCATTCAACATCTCCCAACAGGACACACACCAATCGTAAGAGACTTCATCGACTGGTGCCACATCTTGGTCTGACTAACCTGAATCCTCTTCCAACCGAACCCGCCTACCTTCACTAGCATGGCACCTTAAGGTAAGCGGTGGCTTGACACGTACAGCACACGTCCAAGCCATCTCAGTCAACTAAGGTTCACAATCTCATCGATCGACTTGCCTGTCTTTTCTAATATCCCTCGCCTGACCTCAACACTGCTCACTCAGTGATTCCACCAAACGCGAGCAATGCAACGAATATATATATATATATATATATATATATATATATATATATATATATATATATATATATAATGGGTGAGCATTGAAGGTGAAATGAAAATCTGGATAACGAAAGGATTATAACCAGCAGTCTCTGGGCTGCCGTTGCAGTACTCTACCCGCTGAGCAACGAGACTCGGCTGCTGACTAGATCTCACTTTGATTTCAATCACTAAGGGTTCTACCCGACTGCCATGTGAATTCGTGATGCGTAACTGTTCATTCATCATTTTAACATTGACTACCCAGCTAGGACTTCTCATCCCAAACCAAATCGAGTTGAATTAAGGAGGGAGCCATCATACTGATTATCAGTTTGACTACCTGAAATAGGCATGGTTTCACTTTTAATCATCACTAAGTATCAGAAATATGAGTATGTTAAACCATGGCTCTCAGGTAGTCAACCTGATTTTATGTAGAATCAGAAAACCTCTTAACTGATATTTTTCAAGGATAGGATAGAATTTACGTTTTAATGAATAACCGTTAAGCATTTAGATGTCTCTCCCGAGAAACGATGCCTACCCAATACCTTTACAAACTGATCATAGGTGTGTTAGACTGAATCATTACCCAGTTACCTCGGTTTCTATGTTGATATTGACTGACTGACTGGCTGACGTAATAAACAAACAGATGAAAGTGCCTTTCATGAAGCATGAATACGAATTACAACACCATGATTTTACCACTGAAACAAAGAAGGGTAGTCATAATTATTGTAAGTAGGTGTCAGAAACTAGAACCCAAGAGGTTATCTATAATCACTCATGATTTTGTTACGACCCCACACCCTCAAAGTATAGCAAAAACTTTTATTTTTGTTACGAATCAAATATACGTTGTTGAGATCGTTTGAAATCGATATCCCTGATGTAACCATATTTCAGCGAATATTCATACTGATATTACGACAACAACTTGATTAAATAATTTATGCTTTGCTAAAAGTTTATTATCCTTCGTTTTGATTGGTCAATTCCTAAAGCTCATATTGACCTAAGACCATTCCGTAGAATCGATGATCATATTCAGTCACTTAATTTCCATTCTGAATGATATTAAATTCTTCTTTATGCCGAAGAGAAGATTAGGCACTTATGGTTATTACATCTGTTTTTGAAGTAAGAAAAATACCATAGGTCATACTACTGATAAACAATTACGAAAATAAATATCTAGAAATAAAAATTTCGAAAACTAATTAACAATATTACTAATAATTTTGATGATATCGTATGATGTGAATTATACTAGTAGATTTTTAAAAATTACTTCAGCTATGTAAACGGCACCTTCATTACCGAGTCGATTACCAGATAGATCAAGACTGATTAGTTTTTTATTAACAGATTGAATTGTTCCTAATCGTTGACTAATTGACTTCCCTTCCATTGGTCCAATTTCGCAATATCTTAATTGAAGTTTTGTTATGCTGGTTTAAACATATAAGTAAAATAACAGTAAGTTAATTCACTTAAAGATGATTTGATTTATGAAAAAAAGAAAAAATATTGGTTATTAGGTCATGCACTTTCAAAATATGATTCTAAAATTCTTATCCTAGTCCGTCTGCATTAGTCTATGCAACTAAATAAGATAACAGTTTTCGTATAACAAGTGTACCTCACTGCCTAGTACATAAACCTATGCGTTGATTTTAATTTCATACTACACTAAAGTTTTATTATTATTTTTCCCTTGGGTTCCTAGTGGAACATAGGGCTTCACTAGCATGTCTCCATTTCACTCTCTTCTCTGCAGTCTTTTCAACCTGGCTCCACGACTCCCCACAAGCTTTCATTTCTTCCTCACACGATCTCCTCCATGTCACTCTCAACTGGGATACCCAACTCATCGTTCCGCATCTGGGTTTCACTCGATGACTTGGCATGGCATGGCCTGGAGTGTGATGTCCCCGAATGATCTTCTCAGTGTATGCCCAATCCAATCCATCTCCACTTTCTTCTGCATATTTGTTGGGTGATAGATTATTGGTTGGTTTGTTGCCAGCCAGAGTTTTTCCTTACTTATTACTCTGGCCATTTGATCTTCAGTATCGAGTGAGTGTAGGCAGCTGTTGATGTATGTCTGTAGTGTTTTGGAAATGCTTTTCGTGATGCGCCAAGTTTCTGAACCATCACACAGAAGCACTGACTTGACTGACTTAGTGTTGAAAATCCGGATCTTGTTCACGCTTTATGTTGAGTGCAGTAGATCTCCACAGTGTTTTCAGATTAATGAAGGCCCGTCTTGCTTTTTCGATCAAATTGCTAAAGAAACTTCAAAGCACACTAAAGTATTGAGTTGAAAGATCAGGAGTTAAGGAGTATAACTACTTACAGCTTATTTTAGGTTAATATTTATCATGGACTGACATCAGTGGTAGAAACACTGAAAACCTAGAAGGTTTGAACTGTTGAGGAGTCTCATACTTCGATGAAACGAATGTCCAGTCCTCTCAGGTCTTCATTGGTTCTACAAACGATATCGGTCCACGATGAATACAATCTTGATATAAACAGAATCCCCATAAACCTCAAACTAATTACAATTATTGCTGGGTGATGATTGAAGGTTAAATGAAAATTTGGACCGCGGCCGGATTCGAACCAGGAGCCGCCGTGTTTCCGGCTCTACGCTCTGCCAACTGAGCTAAGAGGTCCTTTGGTGAATCGCGAGCGGAAAGCCGGTGGTCGCTTGCTCGAATCTGGCCATGGTCGAGATTCTCATTTCACCTTCAATCATCACCCAGTATAAATACTTTTCTACCAAACTACGGCTCATATAGTCAAATAATAAGTGTAATTAAGTTTTTTAAAAACTGGAAGTATCTACTTTTGTAGTTTTCAGTAAAAATGACAAATGTTATGCTTATTACAGTTACAGCTATCTTGTTCTTCCCCGTGTTGTCCCTAATCATCTGTAGCAATCGACCACTTGACATTGCCATTCATTTTCTCTTCTTGTTAGTCACTATTATAGAAGCTATCAATTATGTAAATTATTACCAACCAAATTATCATAATTATGTAAATTGTTTAAAATTTTCAGAAATTTCAAAGCATAATTTTTCTTTTCTCTAACTATTATTTTAATTACTCCCGCTAGACATCTTGAGATTAAAAATCTGTTATAAACCAATTATCACTACAAGACTGAAGACCAAATTAAAAGGAAATATTGCATGGCTCAAATTGTACGTTTTTTTAAATCCTGAAAGATAGAAAATTTTAAATGATCAGATAACCATTAAATTTAGGTAGGAAGAAAAATCTTGTTTCATTAAATTTACTTCAAATATGAGTATTTCATAATCATGAAAAGACTACTAACTTGTTAGTTTCATCTATAAGCTGAGCATATGCTCCACTTTTGAGTGCTTCATTAGCATCTATGGTTAGTGATCTAAAAAGGAAAACAGAACAAAGAGGTTGGTTAGATTCTTTAAGAAATAACGAAATATCTTTGAAAACTTCATGCGATGTAAGTAGTGAACAAAGTTATCAGAAGTTGTGCAAAGTATATTCGATTCATATAGTCAAATAGTTGCGATAAGAAGAATTTGGTTAGGTTGTTTGAATGACTCATTGCGCAAATAAAGCAGGAGAACAACTTGAAATTCAAGGTTCCTTGGTTTGAATCTTGCTACGACCTAGTTTTTCACTAAACCTTCAATCATCATCAAGTATCAATTTGAAAACTACCTGATCCATGTTAATATATTTTATAAATGAATAATTCTCCATTCGTTTTTTTTTTAGTTTCAGCAGAGTTCCTATCGGAAACCAGTCTGTTAGGAACCTAGAATGTTATGTTCAGTAAAAACATCATGAGCTAGACTCTAAAACAACTCACTGATCTACAGCTTTGGGTTACATCCATTAATTTTTTTGACTCTCCACCTTGTTAAATACAGTCCTATAGATCATAATGGTCATTAATTTTTGTTTCTTGACATTGTAAATAACAAAAACCAGTCGGTATTCTACCGTCGTATTTATTCATCCTTCGTTTTTAAAGGTACTAGTCAAAGAAGGCAAGTCAGTCGGTAAGGTCGCCAACCAAGATGTGATACCTATCTATGAAGTCTCTGACTCTAATTCTTGACTGTGTAGGGAGACATAGACTGCCTAATTTGGGTTCCTGAGACGACAGAAGGTAGTGGTTGAGGAACCTTGCTAAAATGGTTGAAAATAGGTGGCAACAGAGCAGATGTAATCACTTTTTGATGTCTCCTAAAGCTTGAATGTTCGGACAAAACTTTGTCGTGAAATTGTTTCTCTTCCCATATGCCTTTGTCTAATTTCATATCCACTTGTTCTTTGGATACTACTGTAAAGTGTAACTACTTGAACCTATGCACTTCTGTGCAAAGTTCTCTAATTTCGTCCGTCTGTCTGACCCCTTTGAACAGTAAAGTAAAAGTGCTAGCAGCTCTTTGAATATATATCCTGTGTAATTGCCTCTTCTTTAGTCTTCATTTCACTAATCATTATCCCTATTTCTCTTCAAATTTTCAGAATGTTGTAATATTACAGTAGGTGGTTCTTCACATACTGAAATGCTGTGCAGTAAACTCGACCCTTGGTACACTTTTCAGTATTTCAATGGCATTCTAAATGGAGTGAGTTGGTAAGTGGCAATTAGGCTTTCTTTGCGGAGATTTTATTGGTCACTGAATCATCCGGGATGATGCCCTTTATCAAGTGAGTAGTGCGCAATGTTAGTCACACTTTCATGTGAAAAGTATTAGCAATACGACTGCTTTAACACAACTTTAGCATACCTAAGAGGAATTGATATGAACCTCATTAGCATACACACAAAATGAATTCATTCACAGAATAAAGTGTACCAAATAACCAAGACGAGTATGGTTAAGCTTTCTTAATCATCACAAAATAACAATGAGGAATAAGCCTTTTCATTTTCCGTAATGAGAATCAATTCAATTCATTGTAGTAGCCCGTAGATTTTGTATGTTATATACACTGTGGTATATACTCATATCATCTATTAAATAATAACCTTTTATCATTTTTTCTAGTCTTATGGACAAATAGGACTTCACAGACCCAGTTTCGTATTTCAGTTTCTAGCTGAATTACTTGCCATAATGATGTTCAACAATTGTTGTGAGATTACTGGAGGTATTTGCTAGAAAGCCGTATCCAACATTAAATTACATCATATCTAGTCTAGATTTTCAATTTTTCATGCCATATCATTATCAATGATACCAAGCATACCGGTAGCATCAATAAAATGGTAAACTCTAACCGGTCAAAAGGGATGATAGTATTTCTGATCTTATTACTTGAACTTTATCATTCGGGAATAGAACTTAGCTGTTACTTTCGTGTGTCAAATTTACAAGGTATATAAGAGTTAAATCTTGTTCAATTTCAATTTCGACTTCATTGTTTGAGGTGTTGACCATATGAAAAAAATTGAAAAGCACTTTGAATATGATCAACATTGCACAGTCAACACTGAACTTACTTAATTGTGTTGTTGGTTGACAAAAAGGAGGCTAATTGAGTAATCTGTTCAGTTGTGAATCCAACTCTCCAAAATCTAAGGTAGAAGATACAGTAAGCATTAAGGAAATACAAAACTATCTGTCTATGGTTTTTACACATTATAAGCATCTGTTATGAAACAGACATTATTTCAGGAATCCAAAAGCAATATGCATAAGGTAATTTGTTTGGTTGTGGCTAGCAGAAGGATCCAAAACCCGCGCCTCGTCCTACTTGAAACACGTCAGCTGGAAGTACCTGCACCTCAGCGAGTGATGCTGTTCCCACTGAGATTTGAATCCCAGATCCATCGCCCTAAACGGCAAGGCGTTATCCACTTTGCCACGGAGGCATGATAGCCACCTCTTTTACAAAGAGTATTAGTTATTACTATTTATTGATGTGCTTATAATTTTTCTTTGTTTTACTGGATCGAATTGTTCGACCTCTATTAGCATATGGGCTCCTATGCAGATGCCTCGATATTGCCAGAGTGTTAATTAAGGTAGTCTGTTTGGTTGCGGCTAGCAGAAGAATCCAGCAACATGCATAAGGTAGAGGAAACTTATTCGCATAACATTTTTATTCTACTTATAAGTAGGCTAAACTACATCTTAAAAATATTCAACGAGTTCACACCAATTTGTTGGCTACTTCCAAAAGATTTGAAAACCTTTTCACATACCAGAGTTTGTAAAATAATCATTATGGAACCCCGATTAGGAAAATGAGAACTTCGAGATGCATTTACTGCTGGTGGTAAACTTTAGTAAGAAAAACTGAATTTTATTGAAATTTACTGCTAAAACTTTGATTGACAAACAATAATTGGCAATATACTGATGATTGATAGTGGCTAGCAGTGGAATCCAGGTTGCGCATTTCGGAGTCATCAGCTGGATATAACCGCACCACCAAGCAAATTACAATAGTCATCAAATTTAAATAAAATAACTGACTGCTCATAGGAAGCTGCTAGATTTTGAATAGTAACCAATAGTTAACTCTTAAAATGCACCCGATTTACACAACCGTACATACTTACTTGATTTTTCTTTAGTGATTTTTTATTTCTAAAAGTTGATGGCTTTTGGTCTACTCTTCTGAATTACATCTTCACCTCCATTAGTCAAACCAGGTAGTCACAGTGACTTCCTATTTGTTGCATATGTGCATATGATACACAAAATACAAATCAAACTTTAGCAGTCGACTAGGGTATTTCAGGTGTCTGGTTTCTACCATGCTACCAAATCATTCAATTGAATTCCATATTAGATTCTTTTATTTGATATACAACACACAGTGATACAGTATTATTTACTTGATGACGTTTTGAGCATAAATTATTGATCGTAATCATATCAATGTAATTACACCACTTTCGAAATCTGAACTTCATTGTCCTATCATCTTATCTTCTTTGTTTTTATTAGCAGTAAAATTTTCCATATCTCCGGTATACGTGTTGCTTCATTCCTGTTACATATGTTGGGTGTTGGTTGGATGAAGAAAGATTCAGTAATCAATCTCTCTCGCACGCACCACCTAATTATATTTGAGTTAAGTACAGGGGTTTTATTCCACCATATTGTGTGGTTGTGTGGTAATGCATATATATTACAATAGCCAAAATTTTCGAGATTATTGATTCTGTAGGGCTCTGTCATTTTATTCTTATCTGAATTCCTATCTTCTGCTAATCTGACTGATTTTGATCGGCCAGTTTGATCCATGTACTTTACCTGACAGTCATCGCATACAATTTGGTAGATGAGATTATTTTGTTGAATGCGATCTACTGGATGCTGGAGTCGACAAAGCTTCTCTCTGAGTGAGTTTGTGGGTATAAGTGGCACCTTGATTCTCACCTTGTTGAGAATCTTACTTGGAGTTTCCGGTCTTCCTTCCTTATATGGTAAAACAATAGAGACTTTATCTAATTTCCACTCGTGTTGTCGCTATTATTCCTATTCCTGTTCGCATTCGTATTCGCATTGTTTTCATTATTTTCTTTGTTATGTGTTCGCACAAATTTCTAAATCAATGGTCGAGGATAAGCATGAATTATTGACGCTTGTTTTGTGTGTTTCAGTTCCTTGTTTCAGTCCTCACAATGACTAGTGAGTGTTTTAGCGCTGTCATTCAGACATTTGACTAAAGCCACCTCGACTGACATTCATTGAGATGATCTGAAGTCTAGATACCTGTTAGAATGTGTTGGTCTCCTGTAGACAGAGGTATCCAAATCACCATCTCTCCTCTGTTTTATTCCCCAATCCAACATAGCTTACTCTCCTCCCTCATAATCTACCTCACAAGTGAATTGGATTGCATCTACTAATAAGTTAATATGTGTGTGAGGAAACTGTCGATATGTTCTGATTTTAACACAACAAACTTATCGTATAGTGTGTCAAATATAGTTAGGTGTAGAGAGAGAGATTGACTGCAGAATCTTTATCCATCGAATCAACACCCAACAAGTAATAGGAATGACGCAACACCTATAACATAACTATGGAAAATTGTTCTGCTAGCAAAAACAAAAAAGATAAGATGATAGGACAATGAAGATCAGATGTTAAAAGTGGTGTAATTACATTGATATGATTAAAAGTAATAATTTATGCTCAAAATGTCATCAAGAAAATAATACTGTATCAATGTGTGTTGTAGAATTAAATTCTACCATAATGCCCATATTTTACACGTATATTCATTTAATTGCAATCTACATATGTCCAGAATGAGATAAAGCACCAATCTAATTTTCTACTTCACCAGTCCGTCTAAAATAATGACTAGTCGATTGAAATATACACTCAAAACAATCACATAACCAAGTTAATCACTAAATAGTATCCAATTTAGTCAAGTATTATATTCATAAAAAAAACATGTTTAAACTTACACTAATTTAGAGAGTTTATTCGTCATTGAAAAACAGTTGATTAATATATCCCATTGACAGTTACTAATTTTCCAACCTATTTTCATAGAATTTCTCTTGACTATATGTATACTTTACGCATACCTTTAATGTAAACTTCATTTACCGTATCCGGTTTATCGTTATTCTCTTGTTGAACAGTTATTTTCGGTTGAAAATATTCTAATGTTTTGCACAGTTTAAAAGTTGTTGGATTAAATCCTAGCGGCGTTTGAATATCTAAATTGAGAAAAGAAATGAGATTGATTTAGAGCTATATTCTTACTATAATTTGAAAGTTATATATCCTAAGTTTCTTAATTTGTGTAATTTTTCAGCAAGAAGGACTAGAAAATTTCATAATAACTGCACCTTCTATGTGAGATCTAAAACCGTATGACTCATTACTGACTAATTCATGATAATTTTGAAACTGAACTGTTTTCTATAGAATGTACATCGTTATTAGCATTGAATACGTGATCTCTGTATCAACTATACTTTCCTGAATGACTAGTATATTTTTTCTTCCAAATATCAGAATCCTTTTAGTAACATAAGGGGATTTCTAGTATTAAATAGCTTAAAGTAACAAAATATTACATCATAACGTTAAACAGTAACACTCACTCCTTTTTTAATAATTTAATTTGCATAGATCGTATGTAGCAGAGGAAATACAATGATTTTGTCGTATCCTATTAAACTAATCGTTCTTGCTCTAATCATATTCGTTAAGGAACGATAAGTGTATGAAGCCTTATATTCTGTTCAGTAGATTTGGACAACACTTTATACCCAACAGCACAAATGTGTCCACCAGAATAATAATCTTCAAAATAATTCAGGGGATATTCATTGTCTGAATATAAAGTGCACAATTTGTCTTATTCATCGAAGTTCAACACGCTACTTATATAGGAACTTTACTAATCTGCTTTGTGTTCCAACCCAAAACCACCGGAAACACACCCTACTAAAAAATTTAGAAATAAATAAGAGTTTTAACTAAGTTTTGTGATTAGAAAAAACCCACTTAGATTGAATATTCTTCTGTGACCAAAAGCTTCACTAACGGACAGTGAAGTTTGCGGACTATCCATAAAATTCTCAACAAGTTTTGAACTCTTAATTTGACCAAACAACTGCTTTATCATATATCTGAATGACTCTCTGGCTGAACCGATAGCAATCAAATTGGTGATGAAAAATCGACAGAATCTTGTGACGTCATAGTTTATTTACTTCGCCTCAGACAGGATCCTTCTTTAATCTATCACTTACATAGACAGATAGACGAAATTAATGTAGAACCTCTTTACAGAAGTGAATCTATCCTCGTTGCACACGTTTCACAGCAACATACAAAGAAACAATAGAATAGAGAGTGAAAGTTATCTTGTCACGAAATATCAGATGATGTTTTAGATTTCAGAATTTGGTCGATACATTTAAGATAACCAAAAGAGACGTGGTGAGAAACATACAATTTAAACAACAAATTTCGGTCAATTTGAATTTCAAACAACAAACTCCCATTATTATTGGTTTAAATTAGGGGGAATAGCACATGAAACTGGAGAATTAAAAGTGAAAGAATCAGTTTTCTCTGATCGAATCATAAATCACGCCATCATCAATTCAATAAGACAAACTTCCTACCATATGAATCCTATTTAATGAACGAATGGATATTTAGTAAATTTTTTCCCCTTAATAGGAAATGAAGAAAACTATTAAATAAGTGTGATTTGAAGGAAAGACAACCCACTTAACTTCATCAAAAAATCTTTATTGAAATCATAATCATTAACAAAGCCGTCTCCAAAAAAATATAATGAGTCATTTCCCCTTTTTTATGAAGAAATTCTAAGTAACCAAAAGTAAATTACTGAAAAGTTTTAATGCATAATGATTGTTTGGTGTTCTCTGAGCTTTGAGTTTTGTTCTCAGACGTAAGTGTAGATGAAGTCACATAGCTTGATGAGGAAACGTCTAAAAACGAAATTCAAGTTTCGGAGGATGTCGTACCATTACCATCTACATCCTAAGTTATATATACTATGTAGGAAGTAATGGTGTGATAACTAAAGAAGAGATTTTTGATATTATCTGTTTACAGAATTGCAACAACTATGGTAATATCCCTGCCATCTGTGTTTATTTTGCACAAAAATTAGTTAACTGGGAAGTATCATGACATGTATCTCGAATAAGTTTCTATTGATTTAGGTCAGATTCATCAATCATCAAGGAAGATAGATGTCAAGCAGCCACAATGTCATGAATCACTCTATACAAAGATTCAATTAAAGCGCGTATGCCATCAATTTCAAAACAGATATTTATACTGACGAATGCAATTCATTAACTTAAGTGATCTAACCCAAATTGACTGGAATTTAAGCATTTATCAAGTATTCATATTGAAATAAAAAAGACTAATCTGAATTGTGTCCATCAAATTAAAAAGTTCGATCTGTCATGTCTTTATCAGTGATTGGTGAACACTAGATATGAACAAAATATTTTAGATTTATTTCAGTTGGTACCCACTTCCTCCATGGCATAGCGGATAACGCGAGGTTTGAGTCTCGATGAGAACAACATTACTCACTAAGGGGTGCAGGTACATCAAGCTGACGAGTTCCAAATACGACGAAATGCCCATCCTGGATTCCTCTGCTAGCCATAACCAACTAAACTCAACCAAAGGTTGTGAAATGTTTTCCCTTAGGACATTACTTGGTCTAGTGAATATCACAAGTCGATAGAAGAAGAAGAAGGAATAGGAATGTTTAAGTGCATCTCCTAATTATTCACCTTTTGTTTTGATTTCTAAACAGAAAGAACTTTAAACTGATATACTATCATTTCAAGTTCTATATTGTTCTATCTGAGATTAAACAATCAGTATAATCTTCACCATATGAATTAATAAAGTACATTTATTCAAACAAGATGAATACAAATAACCACTTAGGAGATAATTCGAATTTATTCACGTAATGTATGAATATTTGAAAGCTGTATAGAATAATTCTTGCTACATTATCTGAAAATTTTCATCTTTATCTTCAAAGTCTATGCGTCTTCAAAATTTGAAGAGAAAATATTTTGAAACAAACAGTTTTTTAAAGTTAGCATATACTGTATGAAATTGATTACAACTGTATAAATTTATTCGCTATCAATCGACATTTTAATTCTTGTTAGCAACCAGTTATTTAAATTTTGAGGGGGTTGTGGAGATTTGGAAATATTTCAAGTTGTTATTCATCGAAGACTGACATCAGTTGGAGGAACAAAGGAAACCTGGGAACACTGGACAGCTGTTTCGTCCTAGTATGGGACTCCTCAGCAGTGCCCACCCACGACCCTACCAGCAGGGATCGAACCCGTGACCTTCAGGTTCCGCGACCAGCGCGTTACCATTGAGCCACTGGGTCAGAATCCAATGCTCCATATTTCCAACTTCTGTTAGCTCACGATATAGCGCAAACCGCCACCCAATGTCATCGTTGACAGCTGTCCAGTGCTCCCAGGTTTCCTTTGTTCCTCCAACTGATGTCAGTCTTCGATGAATAACAACTTGAAACCAGTTATTTGTTTTGTCACTTCTTCTCTTTACATCAATGTCTTTCTACCTCTTTTGACTTTTTCTTTGTAAGCATTGAAGAATTAAACCACTACAATTTTGGATAAGATTCTATATTTTACTACTCGTATTTCCTGTAAGTAAATGCTTGATAGCAACTATATGGTAGGTGTCTTTATATTTGATATTATTTTTGTTTCCTACCGCATGACAGTTTACTAGTGAATGTATTTTCACCATACGATCGACTTGTTTCAGGGCTTAATCTTCTGTGTATCTGATGTCTTTACATCTTAGACACTGAACATATTGTTTCTATACTTCCGCGAAAGCAGCAGTATTAAATACATAAGCCTACTTTTTATCACTAAGAGGTGAGCTATGCATGAACTGAAAATTAGAAGCTTTAGAAAATGATCGGAGTGTCAGGCTATCAGTAGGGTACTAGGCAAGACAGGCGAGTAGATTGATGAGATTGTGAAGCTTCATCGACTGAGACGGCTTGGACATGTACTGCACACTCCAAGCCACTACCTACCTCAAGGTGCCATGTTCGTAGAGGAAGTTGGATTAGACCGGAAGAGAGTTCAAAGTGATCAAACCGAAACGTGGCACCAGTCGATGAAGTCTCCTACTGTTGGTCTCAGTTGTGAGGGGAGATATAGACTGCCTGACTAGGTTACGTGAGACGGAAGGAATCAGTGATCGGGGACTCTTAGTGACACGGCTGAAAATCGCTCACAGTGGAGGAAAAGTATTGACTCCTTGATATCTTCTTAAGCTTGAATATTCTCACTAACCTAAATCTTCAGATTGTTTATTCTCTAACGCAACTTTATCTACTTTGGCATCACTCTTTTTCTATTCATCTGTTTTTCTCGTACTATTTTGAAGTATGGCAACATGAGCCGATGAGCATGTGTGCGAGGTTCTACATTGATTTTGTCAGACTGTCAGAAGTTTTCTTGATGACAGTGTAACTATGTTGGGCACACCTGTGATTTTTACTTGAATGCAGGTCCTTCATGGATTTTCAACTCAGCATTATGAATATGATACACTTTAAAAGCATTTGAAAGGAACGTTTGAATTTATTCTATATATTCACACTGCAATTTTTTGCACCAGAAATATACTTCTTCTATTTGCTTAGTGGGTGTCAGTAATGATAACAGTATTTTCATTTCCCCATTTCGAAGGGAAAGAATTTCTTTCATGCTCCCAGTTAGAGTTTTTTCAATACACACTTCGCTTCATCAGAAACTGAGTTGATCTTCAGCAGAACAAAAACAGATACCTTAGTCATTTTACTCCATGTTACCAAAACTTATGATTTTGGGCTCATAACTTGATCTCTTACTGATAAATAACGAAAATGTTACCGCAGAGATGCAGAAAACAAACAAGTGACGGTACAGACAAGTTGACAAAAATTCAAGTTAATTATTCCTAGAATTGCCTTGCTTTTCCTACCTCGAAACAGCCTGATGTGGTTGAAGGTATGAAGGGTAAGTTATTCTTCTCGGGACGATTTTATGAGATTATATGCTTATCAACGTAGTCAAAGAAATCTAGTTAACTTATTTCATATACAAGGAGTGACTTCATGAACGTGAACAGTGTTAGGCTAATGCCTGATATC